CACTGATGTTGTCTGTAAAAACGAGAGAAGCACGGCGGAGAGGGCAATGTAGTTCAAGAAGGAGATTACGGAGCCAACAGATCTCGGCCACAACGTTGGCCACCCCTCTGTATTCAGCCTCAGCACTGGAACGGGAAACAACTGACTGTCGTTTGGAAGACCAGGAGATGAGGTTGTCGCCAAAGAAGATGCAATACCCAGATGTGGACCGTCTAGTATCCGGACAACCTGCCCCGTCAGCGTCTGTATAAGCAATAAGATTAGAGAGAGGGGATGCCTTCATCATAACACCCATATTGAGAGTTCCTTTGACATATCGCAGAAGCCGCTTTAACGCATGAAGTTGACCGGTCCGGGGGGCATGCATGTACATGCATATCTGCTGCACCGCATAAGAGATATCGGGTCTGGTAAACGTCAAGTATTGCAACGCACCTGCCAGACTTCGATAGGTGGTGGGATCGTCAAGAAGTTCGCCAGACGTGGCGCCTAGCTTACCGGCAGTGTCGACCGGGGTGAGGACCGGATTACAGTCATTCATCTTGGCACGAGCTAGGATGTCCAGAGCATATCTGGCCTGAGATAGAAACAGACCGTACAATGACCGTTGTACCGATATACCCAGAAAATAAAAAAGAGGACCCATGAAACCAAATCTTTCATGGCAAATTGTTTAGACAGGTGAGACATGAAGTGTGCCTTAAGTGCCGGAGACGAAGTGACTAGAATAATGTCATCCACATAGAGAAGAATATAAGCCACATCACGTCCCTGATGGTGGATGAACAAAGAGTGATCACTCGAGCTGAGGCGAAATCCCAACTGAGTGACATAGTCGGTAAACCGCTGGTACCAGGCTCGCGGTGCTTGTTTAAGACCATACAGTGATTTCTTCAGACGACAAATATGATTAGGAAAGTGAGGATCTCGAAACCCCGGCGGCTGATGCATGAAAACAGTCTCACGTAGATGACCGTGCAAAAATGCATTCTTAACATCAAGTTGAGAGATATCCCAGTGATGATGTAAGGCAATAGTAAGAACTGTCCGGATGGTTGCTGGCTTAACCACTGGACTAAAGGTGTCCGAACAATCTACCCCTACCTGTTGAGTTCGGCCATCCCCAACCAACCGTGCTTTATAGCGTTCCAAAGTTCCATCGGATTTCAACTTGTGTTTATAAATCCACATGCACTGAATTATGTTCATGTCAGAGTGCCGAGGGACAAGTTCCCATGTCTTATTATAAATAAGAGCAGAAAACTCTTCTGTCATTGCTTGGTTCCAAACAGGACTGGATAAGGCATCGGTTAGAGTTTTGGGGAGCGGTTCAATGTTAGAAGAAGTGTGTAAGGAGAACGGGGTTTTGGGTTTGGAATTACCGGTCATGCTACRGGTACGCATCGTTCGAGTAGGKGGAGGTGGGGGTGRTGGATTGGATGAGGAGTTGGTTGGTGCAGGAGGTGGTGGATGAGGCGAAGGACCGGGCCGTGTTGGTGGACTAGAGGCAGYGGGTGGGGCGGTGTGCGTGTGGCGTAACCGGGAGTAGGTTTGACCAAAACGGGAGGGGGTAGGGGTCGGGTGGGGTTGCGTAGGGGTAGAGGGAACCGTGGGTGAGGGGGCTGTAAGATGAGGGGAATGACGAATGTATGGGTGTTGATCGTCGTCGATGTGCTTGTGAAGGAAGTCGTAAGACGGAGTGGGTGTAGTGGAACGAAAGGGAAAGATGTCTTCGTCAAAGAGGACATGACGGGAGRTGATGATCTTTTTGCTTGACATATCTAGACATAGGTACCCGCGATGATTTGGAGGGTAACCAAGAAAAACGCAAGGAGAAGAGCGGTTTTGGAGTTTGTGGATGGAGGAGGACGGGAGGAGAGGGTAGCAAAGGCACCCAAARGTGCGAAGATGAGAGTAGGTAGGGGAGGTACGGTAAAGAAGGTGGGTGGGAGTAAGGTTTGCCTTTGTCTTAGAGGGTAAAATGTTAAGGATATAGGTGGCCATGGCGAGGGCATAGTGCCAAAAAGAAGGTGGGAGAGAGGAGTGAGTGAGAAGGGTGCGAAGAATGTTATTGATTGAACATATTTTACGTTCCGCTTTACCGTTTTGTGAAGAGGTGTAGGGACATGAAAACCGAAATTGCATCCCTTTTTGTTTACAAAAAGTGTGAAACATATGGTTGTTGTATTCAGTCCCATTATCGCACTGAAAGGTTTTTATGGATCGTTCAAGTTGAGTGCGAATGAGAGTATGAAATTGCAAGAAGGTGGAGTAAACAGCCGATTTATTTGATAATGGGAATGTCCATAGGAAATTACTATAATCGTCCAAAAACAATATATAATACCGATGGCCACTCGTACTAGKAACGGGGGACGTCCATAGATCGCTATGAATCATGTCAAAAGGAAAAACAGTAGTAGATAAAGAAGCATGAAAGGGTAGCTTAATGTGTTTGCCAAATACACAAGATTGACACAAATGTGTATTATTAAAACTGGAAACAGAAATTGAGTTTTGCTTATTTAAATAACGCAATAAAGAGGCGCTCGGGTGACCCAATCTTTGATGCCAACGATCTTGAGWGAGAGCAGCAAAAGTGGAYGGAGAAGKGAAGKTGGCCGTTGGAAAAGATAGAGGATAGAGGTCCCCGGAGCTGTTGCATCTAAGGATAGGGAGCTTGGTCTTGAAATCCTTCACAAGAAAACCAAAACGATCGAATTCAATTGAAACATCATTATCAGTAGTTAAACGTCTGACATAAACAAGGTTTTTAAGTAAAGATTGAGAGACAAGGATGTTGGGTAGTTTGAGAGGTGGGTAGGGTGGTGAGAGGGTCGTGTGGCCTATACCAGATGTCCGTATATGAGAACCATTACCAACGACGATTGGAGTTAAGCTACCATTATTGACATAAGAAGAGAGCATACCTGGCGAGTGCGACATATGGTTGGTAGCCCCCGTATCCATGTACCAGTTTTGATCCGGATTCAACGTCATAGAATGTAAAGCTTGTTCAATGTTTGTCGGAGCAAACGAGGAGTCTGATGAAGCATACGCTGCCGAAGGTCTTGGGCCAAGAACTCCAGGTGCATCCCTTGAATGGAGTTGCGACTGAGGTGCAGTGGGGTACGGGCAGGGAGGCGCTGCCCACGGTGAGTACGACCATGAATGGTGTTGCTGCATCCATGGTGGTATAGGAGAGTACCCGACGGAGTTATAATAGGAGGGGATGTTCCTGCCACGAGACCGTCCACGGCCGCGGCCACGTCCACCACGACCACGGCCACGAGTGTTGTCCGGTCCGCGGAGAAGAGACCTGGTAGGAGGCTGATCGGGTTGTACCGTAGCGGTAGCGGAGGCCGGCTAAGTGGAGGTCAACCCGACGTGAAGGGCAGCAGGAGATTCAGCCGCACGTTTGGCTTTGCTGCCTTCTTCGAGAACAAGTTTGGAGCGGACAGAGGTGAATGAAGGAAGGACGTCCGCTTGTTGTATGACCGTTGCAAAATTGTCATATTCGGGACTCAATCTGGCAATCAACTGTAGACAAGGGTTTGGTCGGTAACCGGGGCATCCACATTAGCCAATTGATCGGCGAGGTGTTTCAACTCCTGACAGTATGCTGAGGAAGTAGTAAAAGAGGACTGCTTGGTATTGAAGAACTTGTTTTGCAGATGTAGCGCACGTGTAGGTTTGCTGTCTAGAAAGAGGCGCTCAAGAGCGGACCAGGCGGAGGCGGCTGTATTATTGACCTGGAGAATAGTGGTGAGAAGGTCGGTAGAGATGGTGCTGTAAATCCATTGTAAGACGATGGCGTCCAGACGCGTCCATTCGTCATCATGGGCGGATGTGGTTGTAGGAGGCGGAAGTATATGATCAAGAACCCGACAAACGGTGCACTGGACTTTAAACAAAGCAACCCAGGAATTGTAGTTGCTATCATCGGCTGTGAGGGTGATGGGAATTTGATTTCGGATGTTGGTGACAGTGGTGGCGGGGTGTAGAGGGTGAGCGACGGGTGTGTCGGTGGATCTGTCATCGGCTGCCATAGATGAAAAACCGAGGAGGAGATAGGGAAGAGAGGTAGGGCCGGCTAGGAAAAATCACAGGGGGATGGTGATTGGAGGTAGGATCGGAGGTAGGGCCGGCTAGGGTACCCAGAGCTCTGATACCATGTTAAGGTTTTGATAATTCGTGTGTTGTCCCTTCTCATTCCTCAATATTTATAGCAATACAATTTACATTTAGGTACCACCGACTATGCTAAGTATTGAAAATATCATACATAATAATATAGACTAATATGCACATTACATGAATGTATAGATGTTGGGAAAATTCAAACTGTGTTTGGGATTTTCTAAACCGATACACATAGGTCTCGCGATACAATCAATGTGTGTAAAAAAACCTAAGACGGAAACAAATTGTATCCCAAATGTGACGAATATCCCAAGAACAAGGAGAAACAAATTGAATCCTAAATGTGTTCAATGTACTAAGCTAATGATAATGCAACAAAACAATATAAATGCAATGAAAGCAAATAAACCAACACATTGGCTTGTTGGTGGTTGTAGTGTCATCAATTGATTTTGGTGTAACTGTGATTCACTTGACATTTTGACATC